TGTAAAGGTACATTTTTGGAGTTGCACAATTATAGGTAGAAGCATGTATTTCCAACAAGCCTGGGTTGAATATCTGTCATCCATTCAAAGCAGGGAGGAGTAAGAATCGGCCTGTGGCACAGCCAAGCATAACTTCAGAAAATAAATGGTTTTTCTGGTTAGATATGGCAAGTGCACGGAATTGCACGCAATCTGTTTCCTCCAAAGAACAATTCTGCAATGATTATAAGGCTTCAATTAAGAGCATAAGGAAAGAGAAATGGATATACACCCCCTGAGATCTCACATCTAGACAGGGAAATCACTCAGCAAAAGGGCTATTTCTCTCCTTCCCGACTGCGGTGTTTGCAAGAAACAGATTAATCGTGGTTTCCCCTGGACCAACAAAGAGATCAGAACTTACTTCTAATCTTAGAGTTTCAGTGTGGCAAATACACATTCATATTAAATAGCAATCATTCAATGAAATACAAAGTACATAAGCTGCAGTAATGATCCTCAAGCAATGTGTGGGAGAGTGGTTTCAAATCCCCCTCCTACTGAGACACACACCCTATTCTCTTGGCTTATTCTAATTAAATCAAACAGCTCCTCTCCCCCCATGTGTTGCCTCTGATCACTTTCCAAGTGTTGATGGGCAACAGTATGAACAGACTCCCCCTCACTGGGTAAGTCTTTCTTTTACTGCCTTATAACGTGCGTCTCATGCTGAGGCCGCACATGTGCCTTGCGCATGTCAGCATCAGCTATGATCTGACGCAGGAAAAGAGGTTCCAGAGCAGCCAAGATCACTTCTGTACTTCATTTGGTACTGATAAATTATTATATTAGGATATTAGAGCAACAGACTAGATCAGTTCTTGAATACATGTGGAGATGTACTTTGCTTTTTTTAGTCAATGTTAGCCTATAACTTTCAAGAGAGGGGAATCAGATATCAGATATCACTAAAATATGTGTCTGTCTGCAATGTTGCCCCTAAAAACAGCTACTGAACAAATATGAATCTAATTGACAAAGCTCATAACTGTACTTTTACAATATTTACAAATAGTGTTGTGCAGGAAACACGCTTATAAATGTCAAATGAAATACGTTACGAGTCCACTGACTATCGAGGAAGGGCTCCCTGTAAAGCGATGTTTTTAATTACAAGTGCTGTCAGTCATAGGGATCACAGATTGTTGCAAACCTCCACCCATTCAACAGATTGTCCAATCATCATAATGTGCAAAACAAATACAATGATTGACAGGCCAATGTCCAATGAACAGATGTTACTTCCAATGCAAATAGCGCTCCTGAAAGCATGGCGTTTGAGTGGGACCAACAATGATGCTTTAGAACATAATGTCAAAGTCCCTTTCAAGGAAAGTCTGTTCACTCGGTGGCCATATTTGTGATGCCTCCAGGCAGCTATTTTTGCCATCCAAGTCCCATCTAAATGAATGGGGGAATCCTGAAATCTCAAAAACTGCTTGCTGAACTCGCAATTAAATTACATATTTCAAATCATCAACAAAATCTGAAATGAACTGCCCCATGAATGTTGTTTCTTATGCTCAAATAGCGTTAAAAGCTTATTTTTCAGGCTATACGCGTCATAACATGCTTAAAGGGGTCATATGATGCTTTTTTAAAGATCATTATTTTGTGTATTTGGTGTAACAGAATATGTTGACATGCTTTAATGTTCAAAAAACACATTATTTTTCAAATACTGTACGTTATTGTAGGTCCTCTATGCCCCGCCTTTCTGAAACGCTTCGTTTTCTACAAAGTCCCTCCTTCCGACAAGCGCAGTCTGCTCTGATTGGCCAGCTGACCCAGTGCATTGTGATTGGCCGAACACCGCAAGCACTCGTCGGAAATGTAACGCCCCTTACCATAATCGCGAGCTTCATCTTTCAAAATAAATGTAAAGACAGAGCCCGAAAGGGGAACAGAGTCGCGTGACAGACACAGTGATGAAGCTGGTATGTGTTTGCAGTACACAAGCCACGGTTAATACAGCTGACTCCACTGTGACCCTGTCTCTCTCTCTCTCTCTCTCACACACACGCACGCACGCACGCACTCACGCACACACACACAC